ATGATAATATGAGGGGCACAAACTGGGGCTAGTGGTTGCCTGGGGACACGATAGCTGCTATAACAGGGTGAAAAAAAACCCCAATACAGTCACAGGAACAGCCTATGATGAATTTCCTTCCCTGTAGCTTCAATTCACATTAAGCAATATCACCGTTAAGTGTAGCCCTAACATTGGTTAGCAGGTGCTAAGCTAACTGTGGCTAGACTGCCACAAACCAGATACAATATGAACCTATCAAGCAGCGTAGTAAGCTAACGTTATCTAGCCAGCATCAGTTCACGCCACCCTGTTTACTTCTGGCTCAGTTATGACCTCCACAATACCTAACATAAAGCTTCTGTAGGCTGTTAAATGACAGTTAATGTCAGAAATGGGTTTGTTCACTAAGGTTAGCTCGATTGCCAGCCTTACCAGCTAGCCTACTGGGTTGCTTTGCTAACGGCCTGCTTTCCGGTCGGAATGTAGACATAGTGCTAGCTTAATACAATAACTTCTTGACATACCTTTTTATGATTAGTTTTCTTTTACGCTCCAGTCCGATACATTCCTTCATTTTGCCCATAATTTGTTGTTTTTACAAGTTCAAGGGACGACTATTTCTCGAAAACACAGACGGTAACGTCTGTACACTCCACAGTCGGCCTCTAAAACGTCTGTTCTGTTAGGAGCTCGGTGATTGGTCCATTTGGGAAAATAAGGGGGCTCGATTCATTTAAGGGCGTTGCCTGGCAACACCACTGATAGAAGCTGTGGTTTGTGCAAGCAGCACAGAGCATATTACGTAATTTGTTTACCAAGATGTTGTTCCGTGTTCTGCCTGCAGTCACTCAACAGGCTACTACAATATGGTATTAACCTATAATTTTCCACGATAATGCCTGCTTATTTTGAGTAATAATGCAGACACTTTAGTGGGAATATAGGCTAGTCCTCACAATGTTTGCTAGTGATATTGTGTGTGTGTGTGTGTGTGTGTGTGTGTGTGTGTGTGTGTGTGTGTGTGTGTGTGTGTGTGTGTGTCAACATTACAGCACTGAAATGTAGCTGTACTTGTGACTGGTCAGTTGATAGCAGGTGAAAGGGGGTGGGGGCAGTGGGTGACACTCAGGTTGTACTGTGAATGTGTGTATGCAGAGTGCCCTCCTCTGGGACTTTCTATAACAGTTTTTGCTTAAACTTCAATGTATAAAAAATAAAGCACATTACGTAATTCTCACAACTGGTTAACCTTAAGCACAAAATTTGTTTTTCTGTTTGTGCAAGTTATATATTGAAGACATTATTCTTGTTTTCACTGTTCATGGGATGTTTTTGCACTGCCTTATGATCATGAAAACATATATTCAGAGGTTGTGTGACATTTCCAAACCAAATTACTCCAATCCACTGAAATCTAATAAACTCAATCTTGCTGAAAGTTCACTGGCTGTAGAAAAAAAAGCACTTTTAAAACAAAAGGGGGGACCTCTTAAATGGTCTTGCTTACTTCTGGACTTTGTTACAGCATTTTAGCCTTAAGCAACTTCATCAGATATACCTGATCAGATGACCAGACCTGCGACCTCTCATTTAGACCTAAACTTTATAAACAAGCTGTAAGTGAAACCGTGTGGATTTTTTTCACCTTGTGTGGTGCTGCCCTTTGACACACAAGTCACACATTAACGTGTGAAGATAATTATTACAGTCATTTGAGGACAGGCACAAACTTTTCCCTTCTCCTGCACACTTCAAGCCTCTAACTCGCATTTGTTAATACTCACTGGCAGTGTGTCACCCAGACGGTGAAAGCGTGTCTCCTCGGTGGAGAGGCCCTTGTGGGGAGAATACCCAGCGTCTGTCAGGCCTGCCTGGTGCTCAAACCTCTGGAGATTCTCCTGGGTTTGCTCTAAGTAAAGATGGGCATAGAGTCAGCATTGGAGATAAAATTAGTCACTGTTTTAAAGTGCTGCACTCCATTTTAGCCTACTGAAACTTTGAAAACTGTTTATCAAGTTTATCTGTGTTCTTACATGTTTAGATATTTATGAAATTAAGTTTAAATGTATGTTCTTCAACTAAGTTACTCGATTTTGTTGACTTACTGATCATAAGTGAACTCATTAAAGAGGTGGCTTTGGCTTTCACCACAGGCACTGGTGACTTGGCTGGCGCTGCTGGCTCATAAGTCAGAAACTTCCCACCACTTTCACCTTCCTAGTCACACAAGATCACACTGTTAAGATTATCTCACAAACCAGTTACAGAACAGATATGCCAGCGAATCAAATGTGTAGTGCTATCCACCTAACCTCCAAGAACACAAGTTACACATCAGCCAGAACAAACAACATTTTGTTCAGCTAACCAGTTCATATCTCCAAAACAATTTGGGTCAGGCAGTATTAGTGCAAACAAACAGGAAAGCACCTCTGCAGTGTTCCTGAACTTGTGCTGTGGGATGACAGGGTCTTTCCACAAGATGTTGACAGTTAGGTCTGGGGGTGGTGAATGCATGGGGGCATCCATGTGCTCATCATAGCTGATATTATGCCGAGTCATTCCAATAGGAGATGAAAAGGCACCGAAGAGTCCAGATGACGTGCCTGACTCCAGTGCTGAAGCATAGAAATAAACAGACATGTTAGAATTGTGTTTCATTTTGCATAAGAAAACTATTTCTACTCTTCTATTTCTCTTTCCATGTCTAAACATACCCAACAATCACGAGGTAGAAAATGTAAAATTATCCCCCCTGTCTTTTAATTTGCCAAATTTAAATTCCTATATTACCTGGAATATCTCCCCGTCTTGAGGCCATTTTGACACCAGATCAGAGAGGATGGCCACAGGAGACTGTGGAGGCTGACAGTGTGGTCGTCAGCTATGCTTGCTTGAGTTTGGACTCCAAACCTGAACACTTCATCACATGACATCACACAGTTATACAGGGCCATTAGACAGATAGAGTAGCCTGGTCCTATATGGATGCAAATTGTGTAGTGCAAGAAGAACACATCAGCCCTGTCACCACAGCCTTGCAGAAGACGTAATAATTAAATGTAGGGCCTTTGCGTGCATGTTTTTATTGGACAAATCATGGCTAAATCAGAGAATAAACACATCAGAGACCTGTATTTACTGTGCAAAGAGCATGGTGTCCTGTTTCTGACCTGCTGCAAATAGAACCAGAGAATCTGGTTACAGCATGTTAAAGTGTCATTAATATGAGTGAAAGTCAGAGTCACCCTCATATACCAGCCTCTACTTCTCTCCATGGTAGAGCAAAAAAGCCAAACTGTGACCTCAAGCAGGCTCATCTTCACAAGGAAATGAAACCTTTGGAATTAAGGAAATAGCTCCACTGTTTGTTTGATAGACTGGAACCTGTTCTGCAATGAGATCCTTATTGTGAAAAATACAAAAAGAAAACCCTCCTTCCTCTTGTATTATGATGAACCTGTCTACCTCTGTTATCAGCGCTCCTTATCAGCCTTGTCTGAGCTCACTTTCCACTCACTGCAGTCCACCAGGATCTCCCTCATTTAAATAATGAGTAATCTGCAACATCCTAAACCTAAATTATTCCTGAATTCAGCTTGATTAGATTTAGGTCTGGGGTATTTCCTGGACTACTCTACTTTCCAGACAGCTGACAGCTCTCTGCTGTTCTCGTCAGCACTGTTAGGAAGCCAGATACAGTGACTTGCAAAAAATAGGAAGTATGCCAGACGCGTGGGAATAACGTCAGAAAGAAACTGTAAACTCTAATCATAATAATAACAACAAAAGCAATTCTGATGTGGGCATATTTTCCTACAGAGTAGACCCCTGCCTAACATTAAAAATTGAGTATTTGAACCATACATGGAGTGGTAGCTAATTTCTGCATTTTCGCATTATTTTTTTAATATTGTTCAGTCATTTGCAGCGTTCACATGAGGGATAACAGTTTGTCATGCATGCAGATTAACACTCACCTCGACCTGTCAGTATTTCCTCTACTGTCCTGTTGAGATTATTCCACAGCTACGGTGGGTTCTTTGTCCGAGCTCCGCCGATTTAACAGACTGGACGAACAAATGCTGTATGTTTGCTCAGCGCTCGGTTCATCCATGACTTTTGGACATGCAGAGAGTAAACAGAGAGGCGTTGAGGCGGCCACACACCACCGGTGAACGCACCCGGCAACGCAACCGGCGGAAGTGCTGGTCTTAAACTTAAAGCCCTGCAGCATGTTTGGGAATAACAAGTGGTGCAATACAACAGTATTGTGAGATCTTAGCCTTTTATATGCAACAATGCCACCAAGTGCGAGGGAACACCAAATACAAATGTTATGCTTTAAAACTGAGATGAATAGGTGCAGTAATAAGAATAAATAGTCATAAGGTTTGCTGTAAAACTAGGGTCTGATTCAGACAGCTACATCATGGACACTCAATTCCTTCTAGAAGACAATAAACTGTCCCCCACTGGTTAAAGCTGAGGTAGAGGTTGGGTTTAGGCATGTATAAAATGTAGTGGTAATGGTTAAGGTTAGGGTAAATGCCCAAGGAATAAATTAACACCAGTGTGTGTGTGTGTGTGTGTGTGTGTGTGTGTGTGTTTGTGTGTGTGTGAGATAGGTGTAGAGGATTTCAGCCTATCATAGTTGAGCTGAGCCGCCCCTGTCAGAGTTGAGCAGGAAAACACAATGTTTGCTGGTTATCGACCGCTAATCCCAGAGTCTGACTGCAGCTCTGTTGTCCCCTGATATCTGATACATGTAAGTACTAGTGAGACCCATTAATTGTGTCTAGAAGACACCTTAGAGCGTAACTCCCTCTGATATTTCATGCTTAGCAACCTAAGCCCGTCTGAGATCATAGGATATGTGAACTGACTGATACACTGTATTTTATGCATTGACAGCTCTGAACCACAAGATAGCACTGTTGATATAGGACACAAACAGTATGAGACTTGGAACAGAAAACAATTACGCAATGCTCCATTGATTTCTTTTATTATTTAAAAAAAAACTGAAGTTATCAAAATGCAGAAAAACTTGGTTTACAGCGCATAAATGTATTTACAGAAACAAATCAGAGGAAATAAGATAGAACGGAGATATACTGTAAGTGCACATCAGTATAAATAGAAGATAAATACACAAAAAGCTTCACTTATTTCACATCTACATTCGTTGAAGGTGCCTTTGCTGGGGTGGGGGGTCAGAGGTCATATGAGCTTCTTGTTCACCCGAGTTAAAGAGAGACTCAAATGCGAGCTGTGCTGCTGCTGCCCTAGTTGGTGGTGAAATGAGCCGGCCTAACTGTGGTAAAGGTTTTCTTCTTCTTTCTAGAAATGACAATAAAACAAATAGGGCAAACATTAGACTCTTTACAACAGTGTTCTCATTATTGGTGGTCAGTGTATTCTGAAGATGAGGCTTGAATTCAGCTCTGCTCAAATACTTACAGGATGTTAATCAGGAAGTTTTTCACTCGCTTGTTGTTGGGGTTCAGGCAAAAGCGACCAGTGTTGGTGGTGACACTGTTGAAATTGACAATAGGGATATGTTCAGTTGAAGGGGTTTAAGGAAAACATAAACAGATATATAGATGAACTATGCGGGCAGACTAATAGATATAGGTATTTTTCAGAATATATGATCTAAGTGTTATTTTAAACACACATTTTATAATAGCATTTCATTTCTTACAAATGTAGTGCTTTATTTGAGCTACATTAACTTTATATTAATATCAATCTTCCCAATAGCATCCCATATTTCCACAGCCGTATATATAAAAAAATGAATAAAAATCAATGTTTCTTACACAATCTCCACTTTGTTACAGAAGATGGTGACTGGGTAGATCTGGATGTCCTTTATTTCAGACTTGGCGAGGGAATCCCTGACATTGTGACACAGACACTGCTGTCCGGAATCAACGCCTAGAGAGGGGGACAAGGAAAGAAACATTTTATTAAACCATAATGCTATTGACTGCGCAGAATTCCAACTTACATCCACCAAGATTAATTGAATATATGAATAATAGTTTTGCGTCAACAAAACAAATCTCACGTTTGCTATATCAGAGTCCAAAAAAAGTGTAATAAAAACTTACGCTGGGCTTTAGAGATGCAGACCACAACGGCCAGGAGCAGAAACACTTTGATGATGCCAGACATTGTTGGTTTCCTCTTTGGTTAAGATGACACTGGTGCAGGAAAAAAATCTTAGTCTTTGTGTAGAAGATGATAGAAAAAATCTGTAATAAGTGCAGCTAGAGAGATTATCTTGTGTCAAGGAAAGCAAAGTGAGTTGACAGCAGCTCTGTGAGGGGTAGAGGCTGAGGTTCGCTTTAAATACACACTTTAGCACATACCCCATCCTTCAAGGGAATTTTTTGCAAGTGGAAAGTGAAACCACAAAAAACCCCTCATCAGTTATTCTCCTTTCCTTTTCCTCTGGCTATGTTACTATGATTTAACTATATCTTAGATTATGGAAATACATTAGATACAATATATAATTTTAAAAAAATTGTAAGCAAAAAAAAAAAAGGGAAAAAAACTTTTACATCAAACTTGTACTTACACTGTTTGTGTAACTAGTCATGTGACTAATGAACAAATCTTTGTGGACATTTTGCACATTTTCTCATGTTGATACCATAAAGTGCAAAGATCTAAACAAATGGATTATATTAAAAAAACAAAAAAAAAAAACATGATGACATTTAGGTCGCTTCTTTTCTGTTTCCCCTTTCTTCCTATACTTGCAGCATAAAGGTAACACAGTAAAGCTATATGAGTACAACTATAAGATTTGTGTCTTTCTGTTGGGGTGAATTGGGTTCATGGGGGAGTCATAAGTTATCAAGCAAAGACATAACTGAACTGACTCATAATGAAGAAAAAAGGGTGACAAATTATTATTCTTTTAATTTGGCATATTGTTATATCCTTTCTGCCACGACCAGGAAGATAAAGTAAAATATAAATAAATATAAATAATTTGAAATAGCTATTGGATATTTCAGTGCACAGAGAGCCGTTCTCATGTTTCTGATTTACATGGTAAAAATGTTTCCAGTTGGATTTTGTTTTTTTAATCAAACTAGTTTAGATATGTATTGATTATTTTATATATGGCAACATAAGGTGTAGGATGTGATCTTTGCAAGATGCACTGTTGTATTTTGAGTACATCCGTGGTTAACACCTTTGTGTATTGCACAAAATCAAATGTGAGAGCGCTCGGAAAAAAATGAAGACTTGACTTCATGTCTTTCCATTGTAGTTTGTGGTAGTCACACTGTTGTGACATTTGTGGTGAGAGTAAATCAGTAGTATTGGCCTCATCTTAGAGATTCTTATCTTAATTTCCTTATTATATTCTGTATTTGATATCAACACCCCATCATAGAGATCTGTTAATATATATCCTCTTAATGTCACCGGTTTGAAAGGAAATACTTGGTTTCATCAGAAAGCTTGGTCTTGCTGTGAGTTTCAGTTTTATGTCCTCTTTCACTTTTCTGGACAAGGTCAACTTCTATCAATTTTTTTTTATTTTTTCTTTTGGATACCCTTCTCTTTTCTTTTGTATTCTGGCCCCCAAATACCACAAAGCTGGTATGAAACAACAGGAAAATTAAGTGTGAAGATGAATGAAATTATACTGAAAATCCTGCTTTCTTGTAATGTACTAAACTATATTCCATGGAGAGCATTAGGGAACACACCAGTAAAGGCATTGATAAAGGACACAGAAGGTGGATGAATGTGACTGCTGTATTGTTGTGTTTTCATATTGCTTTCACACTTACTGTACCTCTACAGTTGTCTGCAGTCAGCTTTAATTTTAGTTGCCCAGGTTTTGAGATTTCTGTCTTCTTTGAGCAGAAGATATGAGACATATATCTAAAAACCAGGGTACCTAAAATCAAAACTGTCCACGTGGAAACTGCTAGTGTGTGGAAATACTGTATGGTTTACTGTAATCTGGGTGGTTCTACCCATTAAGCATGGTGACAATGCAAGTTACCATTATCCAGTGGATTTTTTGAAAAGGATGAGAAACAAAAGGAGCATGTAATCATTCAGTGTATCTTAAAAATAATCATATATGGAGATACATAGTGTTAAAGTGTTAAACCTTTTACTATCTTCCTCTGGTTTTGTCATAAACATTTATTTTTGCTTGACATGCCAACAAAAAGAGCCCAGCTGTGCTAATTTAAGACACAGGGGTCTTCCCTGCCAATGAAGCGCAGTGTCAGGGACTTTCATCTATTGCTGCATATGGAACAAACTAAATGACAACAGTCAGGCGGTCAGCAAGTGTGATTTGTCCGCTCACAAAATCTAGCTTATAACACACTTTAAATCCTGTTTCAAGACAAGACTGTGACTGTGTTATTATATGAGTCATGAATGTAGAATTTCTCTGGTTGACTTATCAGGGGGATTTAGAAATCATTCGTTGGTTGCCACAGTACAGCCAGACTGCACTTGAATTTTTTATACATCCTTTCAGTTAATATTTCATGGGTTTCACTTTTTGGGGACAGGAGAGTGGAAAGTAGAGTTTTCTCTGTCATTCACTCACTGGCACATGTACAAAAACAGGTGACTGCAGTCCAGTTCATAAATGACCACATGGTTCACGGAAAATAGTTTTTTTTTTTCTATTTGCCCTATTTACTGCGGAGTGCGGTGATTAAGGGTTTGAATTGAAAGGGGATTACCAACCATAACTCTCTTTAATTATTCATGTTTCCTTTTTGTGAGGCAGCGCATCTCTTCACCAACAGCAAGTACCACAAAATGTGACCATGAGCCAACAGGAACTAATAACGTAAGCAGAGTCTCTTCCTCTGCAGACTTTGAGTGCAATGCTTAGTGTGGTTGCACTTCTCTTTTCATTTGAAAAGTCATTTTTATAATCAGCAACAATCTGGGGTGAAATAAAAAGTAAACGGTGGAAGTCAAATCCTGTCAAAGTAAAATATGTTAAATATGTGAGAGTATTCCATTATCAGCAAAAGTCCTGCATTCTTTTGTTTGTTTGTTTGTTTGTTTTTTGTCTTTTTTTTGCATTTATTTAACAGCAGTAGCAGAGGTAGGCTACAGACAGGAAGTGTAAGGGGGGAGAGAGAGAGAAGGGTATGACATTCAACAAAGATCCCCCGGCTGGTAGTCAAACTCACTCTGCAGGAAAATGATTATTAGATGATCAGATAGTAAATATCGATTAATTAATTCGTATGTAGCATTTTATTGCTGTAGCTGGTCGAGGTGGATCACAGTTCAGCAGTTTAATCCAGTGGTTCTCAGCATGTAAAGGGTCCCAATATAAATCTTGTGTGTGCAATGATTAATGAGGAATGACAAACAAAAAGTTCTGCAATACAAAGTTAGTGTTTTTGGACTTGTCCCCCCACCCCCCATAAATATATAAAGTACAGTATTTCCATCTGAAATTTAAAGTAAAGTAAAGTAAAAATAGAAAGTTGCATAAAATGGAAATACACAAGTAAAGTACAGGTAGCCTCAAGCTGCACTGCTTGAGATTATTCCATATATGTTAAAGGTCCAATATTATTCTGTTTTCAAGTTGTTCTCAAATACAGTGTAGCTAAAGGTTAAGGTAAAGGTTTTATAAAAGCATGTAATTAGAAAAGAATGATTTTTAATCTCATGGGCAGGGGAGTCAACCAAAATCAAGACAGTTACTTTAATTTTTCTGATAATGCCTCATTTTTAGAAATAATTTTATACTAATCTAATCAAAAAAAGTATTAAAAATCTTGATATATTTGATAATCTATATAATATATGCTGCTTTGACTGGCTAGGTAACAACAGCCTTTCATCCGGATGTGCTGAGGTAAGTGTGAAAAGAAAGACAGAGTTGTCAGTCGATGTGGGTGCACATGTCTTGTTTTGTGAAATTAGTGAAGATGGTTTTCTCTTCCTGGAACCATCAATGTTTATGTTGTTCCAGCGTTTCTCTGAGTTCATGCCCATGTGTCTGTATCGACCGACGAGTTTCTCATTAGCTGTTTTACAGAACAATTCAGATTTATTACACCTTGGTTGTTATTCGGTAATTCATTTTTTTTGTGCTACCAAAGTAGCTGCTGAGATATGGGGCCAAGGCAACATGGGGACATTGAATAAAGTCAGACTAGGTAAAGAACCTGTCTGGTCAGACAATTACAGAAGCCAACTATTAAGCCAGAATTAACTAAGACTGTGTATCTGATAAAACCAACTGTGAGAGCACCCAAAATGTTGGTAATAATCCCGTGTTGCAGCAACTCCAGTATAGGCCAAAATGTAAACTAGGAAGGAGCTCTATAAGCTCTAATGGATCAAATTCATTTCACCTCCAATACAATGACGATGAAATGAATTTAGTTTACGGTATTCACAACATTGAAAAAACTATATTTGACAGCAACATCACTTTCGTGTCCTTGGTCTCGATAATCTCTAAAACACACTGAGAACAATCTGGGACTATTTCTTCAGCAGAAACTTGTTCATTCAGATTCAAACTATCACACTTTTCATTTGAAAAATTATCTCTTCAATGAGTGACAAGCTCTGACAAAACAAAAAGTGAACGGTGTGAGAGAGTTACAAGTACAGTACACAAAATCAGTGTAAGAGGACTCCATTATCAGTAAAACTCCTGCATTCAAACACACAAAAACTTTCTGAAGTCAAAGTACAGAAGATTTTTTTTTTCTTTTTTGTGGCATTTTGTAGCAGAGATACAGACAGGAAGTGTAGGGGGGAGAGGGGTATGAAATGAAACAAACATCCACCAGTTGGGGTGGGAGGTGGTTGTCACATGCTTTCAAATAAAAATCCTCATTTGAAAAACAACTGAACAAGAGATGTAACTATATTTACAGTGCGTCATATTGAGACATTGTTTTCTGAGTTGAAGTATAAGTGCATGGCTTGACACTAATACAGGTGACTGATAAAATATGTTGTTTTTTGATGAACTAACTCTTTACCCATGACCTGACCAATGTCAGTGTTAAAAATATACATTCAGCAGGCTCTGCACGTTTGTTTACGCTTTCATTACAAAAGGATAGAAGGGAGGTCCAAAACGTGTAGGTGCCAATGCAGCTTTAATTGTGGTTGTTAAATCCTTAACTGTCAGGTTGAAAATTACTACACACCTAGAGTTACTTCATTATCATTAGTACTGCATTGTTTGATTTGAGGTTATAAAATGTGTGATGGGTTGATTATGTAAAGTATTATCATGAGGCATGAATGGTATAACCCTGCCCTCTAGTGTTTCAAAACTGTAACAAAACTGTATCTAAGGTTTGCTTTGTGTTGGTTTGTGTTTTTCTATTTATTTATTTTTTTTCTACAGTTAAATAAAATCTTCTTTAGTTTGTAACGTTGAAATGAATTAATGTGAACTGGTCAGGTTGCAGTTGCAGTTTTCCTGCTTTTTTTCTTATGACATGCAGGCGAATCTGTTGTAGCAGTGAAACAACAGATGACCATCTTGTGTGTTTAGGTTCAGCAGTGTCATCCTCACTCAGCCTGTGCTTCCTCACACTAGTGTTTACCAGCTCAGGATCCCACGACAGTTACCATAGAAACTCCAGTGCCTGGCACCAGCAGAGCTGAGAGTGGAGTTCATTTTCCAAGGGTTTACACATGCAAGAAAACACAGATTGTAGCTCGGAAAAAAAAACAAAAAGCACTGATAACACAGTTTGGCTGAGAGTATCAAAAGATTGGTTTATTCATTCATACTCAGTTCACAGAACACAGAAAGATATAAAAGGATTTTGCAGATTTGTCCATTTTAATGATTTTGTATGATCACCAGCATACAGGGTGCAAATATTGACAATGATATAACATTACAGACATGACAATATTTATTTGCCTCTGTGTGTTTTCAACTGTGTATTTATTTGTATCCCTGTTGTATATATGCATAATAGACTTCTACATATCTGCTAATGCCAATGTCTCATGCACTGACAGAGAAAGACCAGGATACTTTATTGAGGAATGTCTTCTGTCACAATGTCTGTCCATTTGCGCCCTAAATCTCAGCAATGGCGGGCAGCATACAGGCTCGTACACGCGCCTCCCTCCACGCTGACCTGCAGTCAGAGATCCACTGGGAGATGAGGGATTGTTTGATGGTTGGTTTCTGTCTCTCCCCCTCTGCTCCTCTTATTGCTGGGCTCCCTCTCCCAGCCTCCAACCTGGATAAGCTGTGTTTTGGAGAGATATTTGGAGCTGAAGTGTTAGTGCTGGTGTCCAACTCAGGGCAGCTGCTCTTGCGCTGCCGTGGGAGCTCTGGACTTGAAACACGGGGGATGCTGTGTGCTCTGGTGCGAGCCTGGCCCTCCCATTTACTCCCGTGTTGCCTTGTAAACCTTCCCTCAACAAACACCCTCCTCACACCTCCTGAAAGATTGTTCTGGTGTCCGTAAAGATACTCCAAAGGGTCAGAGTTGCCAAACATCAGCTCGCAACCCAGTTCTTTCTCCTCTCCCTGCTGTACATCTATGGCTTGTGCCTCCTCTGTGGGGTTGAATTCAAAGGCGGTTGATGTAGTCCCACTGTGTCGTGACAGCCTCAGCCTCTGGTGCACAGCATCCAGCTGCCGTGTGTGTATGTTGTCAGGGGAAACATCTCTGGTGGGGAAGGTGGGGTGAGCCAGGTGGCAGATGGAGAGGAGGTAGTCCTCTGAGGAGACAGACTGGCTGTGGCCGGCGATGAGGAGTGCGTTGGCCTCATTCAGATCCCTCACTGACTCCTCTGTGCCCTCTCTGATTGTGGGCAGCAGGAGTCTTCTCTTGGACAGCAGTCTGGACCGCGGACGCATAGCTGGAAGACGAGGAAGAAAGAGGTCATGATTACAACGAGGACATCTGTCAAATGTTTGGGAGCACATAGAGCAATGAACAGCAGGAAAGTGATTTTTGCATTCAATTGTTTTGGGTTTGGCAGTCTTTTGGGCATTTCCTTTCAAAAGCAGATTTAAACACAAAAGCTGGACATGGTTTTACTGATCAAATTGAAGTCATCTTAGAAAGCATTATATATTTCATAATATTACATAATTTGATTTACCAGCATTTCTGAGACTTATAATTGAGGATTTACTCTGTTGTGTAACCAAGTCATAGATGAAATATTGTTTTTTTGAAGCATAGTGGTGGTTTTAAAGAGTGCTTTACGTTTGTGTTTTTCCAATCATCTGGACATTGCCCCTTATATTGTATCAATTAAATTTAATTCACATATAAGCCTTCCTCTCCTCCTCCTGTCTCTCCTTTTCCCTATTTCAGACACTATCCTCTGCTTACTTTGGAGTGGCAGTGTAAACAGCCCAATATACAAACAATCCCAGCAAGGAGCAGCAACATAAATAGATGTCTATTTTAAATGCCTTCTCAGTTGTGTAAAGCCACAGAATGTGTCAGCCTATATTTTCTTATGTAACCCCATATTGTTACAGCCCTGAGTGTAGCCCACAATATATTTTTGTCTCAACCTCCATGCCAAAAATAGCTCAAGCCAAAATACCAGCCTCTCCCTGTTTCTTCCAAGGTGTAACCATAGCTAAATTTAGACCACACCTTCAGTATACAGCAGCTAAAAGTGGTTCCACAGCAGCAGCTCTGGGCTGAAGCACAGAACAGGCAGCCTGTGTATTTTCGCCTCATGCATTATCAGTAATTATGTAAGGTTTTCTGCACAATTTGCTTTCACACTCACCTGCTTACAGATGGTCTTTGTCGAGTCCTTCCTTCTTTCCTCTGCTCTTGCAATCTCAAATATCAGTCTGCAGGCTTTGTGCAGCTGGATGTTGTTGTTTTAAAAAAAATGTATGATACTGTGTTTCCAGCCAGTGATGCTGCTTCTCCTTGTAGCTCCAACTGTCTCTGACCAGAGGCAGTGGCAGAATGCAGATTTATCTTCTCCTCACATCCCTCCCTCTCCCTCTCCCTCTCTCTCTCTCTCGCTCTCTTACTTTTAGTTTGCCCTCCTTCCCTGGTTCTAAAAATAGACACACCATCCATTTCCTCAGCGCCAGCACTGTCATTGGCCAACTGTATTGATGGAGAGAGAAAAACAGAGGCAGAGAAAGAGGGAAGAGAGAAAAAAGGGAGGACAAAGAAACAGAAGGAGAAAGGGGGGTGGTGAAAGTGAATGAGAGAGAAAAAAAGAGGAGACGAAGGGAAAACAAAACAGAAAAACGGGGGGAGGAAAAGAGACAGAGGTTTATTTTGTTTTTGTTTTTTTCAAGACATGCTGTTTCTAAAAATGACTCACTGTAAGTGAGCACAGTCACCCTGTGTAATTTTGGTAAATCTGCCAAAATGAATGATGCTTTCTGAAAATGGAAATCATCATACTGTGGAGCTTTTATAAACTGGTTGGACCTTATCATTTAAAGCATGTAGTGTGCATCATTCAGATAATTTGACATACATATGAGAGCTTTGCACATGTTTACTTGTATGTGTGTGTATTTGTGTGTGTGTGTGCACAGTTCTAAGCTGAGATCATAGGACCACTTGCTTTAGGAAGCTTTTCACCCGAGGCTTTGTGTACAGCAAATGTGATGTCAAATCAAATCAAATTTTATTTATATACCCCAATATCACAAATTGCAAATTTGCAGCAAGGGGATAAAGAATCTGTAACAATCTGTAAAGCATACAACACTAACACCCATAGATGTTGTGTGTTCAGAACTGAGCAACAAAGCAGATTCACATATGGACAATCAGGATGACAACGTTATATTATAAAATATGATGTGGGAGGACATTGAGCCACTTTCAAGTGCCACTAACTCATATGAACTGAGCCACATGACCTCCTCTTGAAAACAAAAATGTTACAATAATCCAGTCTGGATGACACAAAGGAGTGAATTAGGGTTTCGGCATCAGCCATAGACAGAAAAGACAGAATTTTAGCTATATCATGTAGGTGAAAAATGCAGTCTTGGTGATGTCTTTAATATGCTGAGCAAAAGAGAGGATATGATCAAATGTAACACTAAGGTTCTTGGCGGTCATACCTCAAAAAAATCACCCAGTTGTCGAGACTTGCTGTCAAATGATCAAACTTTTGTCTATGTTGGGCCATAGCATCTGAGTTTTATCTGAATTTAGGGGCAGGACATTTTTTGACATCCAGCTTTTCACAGCAGGTAAGCAGGCCTCTAATTCTATCATCTGAGATGAGCCATCAGCTTTTATAGGAAGATACAGCTGAGTATCATCAATGTAACAATGAAAATTAATTTCATGACTGCATATGATTTGGCCAATAGATTAAATAAAAAGAGCAAAAAGCAGAGGGCCAATTACAGAGCCCTGAGGCACTCCATATTTCATACTATAAAATACTGATGTAGTGTGGGAAACACTGTGTCCTTTCACCTAAGTAAGACTTTAACCATGTGAATGTCAGGCCAGAGACACCAAATTCTAGTCAGTCTGGGAGTATACCATGATCTATAATGTCAAAAGCCTCTCTGAGATCAAGTAAACCAGTAAACCACAGCATTTTTAAAGCTAGTGGGGATGGTGCCAGTTGTAAGTGATAAATTAACAATGTTTAGGATTGTAGATCCCAAAACTGTCCAGAGATCTTTGGAAGGTTTTGCTGGTAGAGGGTCAAAGAGACAGGTGGCAGGTTTTGAAGCCAACACCAACAACGGCTGCAGAGATATAGCCTCAAAATATGTTAAAAACAGAGACTGTCAGGGGTACAATGTAATGCCCAACTGGTTGTGCAGAAAAAGTCCGAGATGAGGAAATAATTTGGTATCAAATCTTGTCTATGTCATGGCAGAGAAAGTCTCAAAACTCATGAACCATTACAGGAGAGCAGCTATGATGTTAGTAAGTTGGTTAGATTTTTGCCATCTGCATTTTCACCTCCTATAGGCTTATAAAGGGCAAGTGTTTCTTCAGTAAACCAGGGTGTAGACCTTTGACTGTAGTTTTGGTAGTAAGAAGTACAACAGAATCAAACTGAATTCTCCAAATTCTTCTTAAAGTTTTGAGTAAAGGCCAGGTGTTCTTTAGAGCACCACAAGGTGGAATGGTGAGAGTCTCGGACAAAGCAATGTATAGCTGATGGATTTGGTTTTTAATACAAGAGTCTCAAAAGATTTAAAGATAATATCCAGTTTGAAGGTCAAAGTGAATATAGTCTTGCAGATTAAGGCAGCATGCTCACATTGTTTAGCCTGAGCGACACGAGATTGGTTGGAAGCTTCATTTAATGGTAAAACATACGTGAATGCAATGATAAATAGAGCAGATATAAAGATATCTTTATCCAGAACAAGCATTTCAGCTTGTATTAAACTGGACAACATGATGAAGAACCCATTTTTGAGGATTTGGGGCAGAAACAGGAACAGTTACATAAACATAAAGACTGTCCACTGGACAGCATTGTGATACAACTGGCTGTTATTTGTGTCTTGCTTGACGGCAAAGATTTAAAAAATGGGGCAGCAGGTGGTTGGAATGAGGTAATGCTTTTTTATTTTCCCTCCTTAGCTTTTGATTGCTGTCTAAAACTGATTTTAGTTTTTCATTCAGAAGCATGTTTCTCTGACACAAAAGTTGTTTAGAGGGCATTTGGAATAATCCTGGTGGACTGAACTTTAAAGTCTCACATCACAAAGAGATTCGGGCCTCTAACCACTGTGGTAATTCAGTTATGGCCTTGTAAACAAGGGTAAAATATTTGTAACAATGACATTAGTTTTATTGGGGTTCAATTTTCACTTAAAATATTTAAATATTCTCACTAATAATATGTTCCACAAATCTTATGACATACCTGAATATATGGATGTGTATTTCAATAGAAACATAAACATGATATGATGTATACATTATCAATATTACATGGTGTGGATATTTGTGTAGGATCTTGGTGACTGTTCACCAGAGGATTTATACACAGAAACATTCTGCCTCAGATCCTTCAGTCAACAATCCTGCCCTCCCTGTCTGGGGAAAAAGGCTTTCAATTGCATGTTTGTGTGTGTGTGTGTGTGTGTGTGTGTGTGTGTTGTGTGTGTGTGTGTGTGTGTGTGTGTGTTGGGGGCAGCATAACCCCTGATGAGTCAGATGAGTCACGTCTTCTTTGCATCCAGCCTATAAAAAGATTCCTGGCTTTTTATGGATCTCTAATGGACTAGTCACAAGGAACTAAATTTGCCTCAAAGACACACACAGACACAGACACTCACACGCATGCACACTCCGGCACGTGGCAAACTTCAGTTATAGGCTTGACAGACTCTCGGGCACCACACTGACTGCATTCATTGATGTGCATTCTGCTAATGACAAACAGCAGGCAGAACATCAACCACAAACGGCAGGATTTAAATTCATGAAAGAAACAACAAGATCCAACACCAGTCATGCTGGCATTTGTATGTGTTGCTCTGTGTGTGTTCACAGGGAAATAGCTGTCTTATCAGCAGCCATAGCAGGCATGTTACAGTAAAGAGCTCACCACTGGGTTCCAGTTGTTTTTGGTGGCTTTCAGATGAACACCAGCCCACGGCCTAGGAGCCAACTGCATTCAAGCTGAGGTAAACAGGTAGAATCAGGGAAACATACAATAAGTATAAAATTAATTTGACTATTTTTTCCTCAACATTTGTATACACCGACAATTATCATTTCACTGAAAAGTCACCATGGCAATAAAAACTGTAGTGAGTATGCTGTATACCGTAGGTGACTGTATGTTTGTATTAGGGGAGTTTTGATACACCAGTATTGATGATAACCATGATATTTAAAAAATGAATTATTGATATTGTGTCAGTTCATTTGGGTCCCTTTTCACTGTCCATTAAGTGTAATTGTTCTTTTTGTACGCCTCTGTACAGTTATGGTGACAGACTCTCTCCCCACCGCCCCACACTCACATTTGAATCTAATTCATTTGCTACAAAAGAGACACACAATAAACACAATTCAAAATGAATTTAACTGATAGCATTATTATTACTATTATTATAACTTAAAATTTTCTATCGATATCACAATAATGTTGTTATTGTGAATCCTTTTTGGGAAAAATAATCGTATCATGAAAATCTAATCTTGTGACAGCCCTAATTTGTATATGTATGTGTATATGTATAGAGAGCCCTGCTAGGCACACACATTTGAAAGAAAAAGGATCTGGAAAATATCACAAAAATAATAATAATATAATGATATCTTCCTTTGAGTGACAAAATTATTTAAGCCCCACGTCTGTCAAAAAATACTCAACAGAGAGGGTCTTCTGCACTGACATTATACACAAACACATTATACAGAAAAGCATAGTATTTGAACAGTTCTGTGAATTTGGGGTAGAAAAAAGAGACTATTTCAGAAAGGGCACATTTTTATACATAAAGGCAAAAAGAGAGTTAAACACTTCCAGTCTTGTTCAGTGCACCTCTTCTCTGCCTTTAACCTCTTGTTCTCATCCACTTATGGGCTCAATAAGAATTAGATTGATACAGTAGGATGCTTATGTCTTATGGCTGATAAAAGCTTCATTGTGTAAAGAGCTGGACACTCTGAGTTGAAGGATGGATAAATGGAAAGGCTCTGATTGTTAAGTCCTGGTTATTGATTTTTATCACTGGGCTTCCAGCTGCCAGAGGGATTCTGAGAAATGGTTGTACAGTATAGGCGCCCTCTGAGGGGCAGGGAGGGGAGTTTCCTCAGAGAGATGATTACTTTTTTCAAGAAGTTGTTTTGAAATATTTTTGGAAAAAATAAATCAATAGCAGTTTGCGGACACAATACACTTGTTATGCAACACAACTGTCCTACATACTGTATATACCGAAGCTTATAATGCCTCTATTGCATAAGCTATAAAAGACCGTAAGATGTTGCAATTACTTTACCATTTTGTGCAACATGTTCCTTGAGCACGTTTTTAGAAAGCACATGGGGTAAGTTATCCAATAATGAGCCAGGAGTAGTACTATCATCAACTTATTACTTCTATTTCAAAGAAGACTCCAGTTCCATCACCGCTGTGTCTAAAGGAGGAGTAAACAAGCCAACCCATGATGTCAGAAGAGGAGGATACAATTGATCTCACGAGACCAGAGAAAAAAAACACTTTGATGGGCCTCATAATTTGTGGTTCTGAGGGCTGATATTACACTGTATTGGATGAAAAACTGCAGTGTTTTTCATTATGATTATTTATAATCATATCACACTCAGAATTCAACACTTGCATGTTTCTCTTCTTGTGTTTTTGTTTTTTGCATAGTTCGCAAGGTACAAGTGACCTTGCTTTGACCCATGCACCCCTTTCAACATCGCCTTTTCATTGCTGTATCACCACTGTCTGAATAAATTAACTCGCTTAGCACTTGACTCAAAGGTCAAAAAACTGTATACAAAATTCCTCTCTATTGTGGACTCACACTAACCCAGCACACAGGAGGGTACAGAGCTTATGAGGGGGCACAGATCATAGATCTTGGTATTTTATTTCTGGGTGTTATTTGGGCAGACATACACTACACTTTCTGTTTGTCTCCCAGGAAATGGTAACGGTTAGTGTTATTGGCCATGCAGTCCTAATTTGCTGCGCAGTGTTCCTGACAAGAATTTATTAGTAATCTAATATTCTGATGCCAGTCATGTTGTTTTCGAGCTCTTGACAGACACAGTGGAACCTTTAAGTACCATAACAAGAATGGTGCGGACACTTTACAGAAGCCAGGCCAGCTTTGGAAAACAACCAGAGTGGGAAAAAAGGAAGAAAAGACCAAGAGAGAAGAGAGAACCAAAAAACAACAGATTGATTTATGAAAGATGTAAACAATTATGGTTCAACTTGAAGTCTTGCATATCTAGGGAATCAGAAAAATGCTCTTCCTCATGATTGTTTTTCTTTCTAAGTGTTGAATGTTGCTTATTTAAAAGAATGCAAATTAAAATAGTTTTTTCCTAATGTCAATAAACCAAGTTTGACTGGAGCGACTCAAAGTATAATGTTACGCACAAAGTCAGTCTGCGTGTAAGCAGATGCAGACTTAGATGCTAAGGCAAATCTAATGAGTACAGTGTAATGGTGTATTTCCTATGTCGCTGGTATTCCCATGAAGTGTGTTTACAGCTAATTTCTACACATAGTAATACAGTGACGTAGCCTTATAACAATTGTCATGAATGTTGTTTTTCCTTTCCTGGGCTGAGTCTCTATTATAGTCAGATACTTTGTAAAGTCATGCTGACTAACATGCTCGTATATACTGTATATATAGCCTACTAGTCTCAGTTTTGGCAGCCAGTGATTTTACAGTTTGGACGTCACAGCACAAAAACTGCTGTGCCCTGCCCCTGATATTCTCATTCTGTGAAGATAAAGAAAGACAATAAAAAAGGCTGGTTTGAGTGAATACATGAAACATGAATACATGTGCTCTGTCTCCCTCTATGTGCCAGATATTGCATTACTCTGGAATTGCAAGTTAAATATAGACTGAGGGAAAGCTTGTAAGATAATTTGATGAGCGTGTTGCAAAGTGGATTAGAAGCCGTGAAATCTTATATGACTGAGTTAACCTAAAACTGATGCTGCAGGCTCACAGTAGCTGTGTCTGCATGTCAGGACTGATCGAGTGACACAACACCTACTGGTTGTATCCCAAATAGATGAAGAAGGGTTGCCTGATAATTGTCACTGGAACAAAATCACACAACACTGGCAGTTTGCAAAATTCCACAGGTGCTTAAACTTTAATAAATATTAAAAATTAAGTTCTTTTTCATATGTACAGATATCGTACAGAAAGATCCATAGGTGCTTTTGCAGTTGCTGCAAGTTAGAGATGTACCAATAATAAAACTTTTAGAAAAGAAAATATACTGGCCCTCAAAGCTTCTATGTAGATACAGTTAATACAAACAGGTTTATTATATTTTTTTGTATTCTTTTTTTTTCTGACAAAAAAAGCACCACTTGACTGTTAAAAAACAAAACACAAAAAATGCAATCAAAATATTTTTTCTGTCTTCAATAAGTTTGTTTTTTTACAACTAGCTTCATGAGATATCAAAATATATCATCAAAATCCAGGAAGCACCAAGTGTTCAGCAATGTCTCTCACCAGACTTCTTCACTGTATCTTAACTTCCTGAGAGATGAAAGACCCCGTTTGCTTTGGAAAAGGCAACATGATCCAAGCAGTGTAAACTTACACAATGAAATTAAACCAAAAGGAAACTATGACTTTCTGATTGTTTGGCATTACCACTATTGCTCTCAGGCCTCCAAAGGCTCCAATTGTCAGTGTGTGTGTGTGTGTGTAGGGTATTCAGAGTGCTGGCCACTAAACAAGGAAACATTTTCATCTTGTGCTACAGTAGCTGTTATCAGGTAGCTGAGAGGTATTCATATCTGTTTGGGGGAAATGAGCTGCAGTCATGGGCAGTAATATAATATTGGATGGAGATTTGGATTGTAGGTTGTAGATTTTGTTTCTCCATAAGTGCCAGTACGGATAATACCATTTTACAAACTACATTACATCTTATCTACATCATCCATTCGGTGAATCCTCAAACAAGACTGTGGGTGGTTTATAGGGATAAAAGCTTGGCTTTGTAAAGTGCTGGTCAAACTGGATGTACACTTTTCATCCCTTCTGTTTCTCATTATTGTGTTTACACAGGCAAGGCGATTTGCTTCAAATCTGCAACAGTCTGTACTCTAAAGGGCTTTTCTTTATTCAAAGCAACTGTTCAAACATTTGGCCATGATATTCTTTCTCTGCTGCAGTCCTGATTGTCATGATAGTAATATGACAGAGATTTGCGTTTTTGTGGAGAGGCCTGATAGAAAGCATCATGGCAGTTCACAGAGGGGTTTAAACAATTGCTTACGAAAGTCTGTAAAGAAAATGTTCATCTCTATAAGAGAAATGAGAAGGCTTGGTCTATCGTGCTCTGTGGCCTCTCTTCATCCTGAGGAGAAAGTTCCTCTTCTCCTCCAGAAGCTCCTGAATTCGTTTGTTCCTGGTTCTTTCTCGGAGGTTGACCCGGCGCTTTGGGATCAGGTTGTTTTGAGAGATGTCGTTGTCTACGCCGATGATCCTGTTGTATGAGATGTCGATGGAGTTGTTCTCGCTATTCTCCTCTGCTCTCCCCTGAGGTCTTATAGTAGAACCCGTGGTGGTCGTGATGGCTGGTTTTTCTGTTGTTGGAGCGATGGTGGTGGTAGGTGAGGTGGTGATGGACTGCGAGGTAGTCGTGGGAACACTCACAGGGATGTACTCAGAAAGGTCCAGCCAGGGCGTGGAGGCGAGATCTGTCATGTCCTCGCTGTTGATGGTCGGGATCACCATAGTTAGGCCATCGTCCAGCACCATGGTGTCACTGACCACACCCACATCGCCGTAGGACACGGTGATGTCATCACCACTGAGAATGGTCCCACTGGTTACTGTGACATCACCGCTGCTCGTCATGGTGATATCACCATACGGAATAATTCCACTGGGCATCGTGACATCATCAAAATCGCTGGTACCAGCAGGTGTAACGAAATCATCTAAAGTACTGGGTGTTACAGCTCCATTGTCCATACTGTCATGGTGCCACAGTGGAGTTTCATCTGTAGCTGCTGTGTTGTTACTGATGAATGTAACATTGAATCTTGACCCAGGGAAAGGCGATGGATCATATAGACTAGTGCTAGAGGAAACAGTGGAGGAAAAGTAGTCTCTTGATGGTTCTGGGCTTGTGTAGGGAGAGGGAGCTGTGCTGTAATAAGATGACTTTTCAAGTGCTTTCTGTTTTGGATTTGTCTTTTTTGCTGTGCCCTTATTCTGATTAACCTTGGCTTGTGAGGCTGTGGCAGTTTTGGGTCCTGTTTTTGGGTTCTTTTTATGGTTTGTCTTGGTTTGAGTTTGTTTTAACGCTTTTGTCTTTGGCTGTATGTTTTTTTTGGGACTGGCCTTTGGTGGAACCACCTTTTTGGGCATTGGTTTAGGTTTTTTCTCAGGAGTAGGCTTCACTGGAGTAGTCTTTTTGGGAGTTGTTTTTACTGGAGTAGTCTTTTTGGGAGTTGTTTTTACTGGAGAAGTCTTTTTGGGAGTTGTTTTTACTGGAGTAGTCTTCTTGGATGTAGACTTTGCTGGGGTAGTCTTCTTGGGTGTAGACTTTGCTGGAGTAGTCTTTTTGGGTGTACACTTTGCTGGAGTAGTCTTTTTGGGAGCTGTTTTTTCTGGTCTATCATTTTTGGGATTGCTGTTGACAGAAGTATTCTTTTTTGGAGTAGCATTTGTTTTCTTTTTGGGACTGATCTTTGGTGGAATCACCTTCTTGGGGTTTTTCTTTGGAGGAATATTCTTTTTGGGCTTGGATTTCAGCAGGGTGTCTGTTTTTGTGCTACATTCTGTTGGATTTGTGAGTGTTGGACTAATGACTGACGTAAGGTCTATTGTAGTTATCATACCAGATGTGGTTAAGCTATTTGTAGTGCTCTGTAACTGTGGATCTGTGCTCTCCTCTATGTCTGGGACAGGCAGAGGCAGGGGATGAGCAGTAATACTGAGAGAGGTAGTAATAACTGAGGTGGTTGCCATGGAAGAGGTGGTGGGGAGGGAAGGAGCACTAGTGGCAGATGATAGCTGACTTGTGATCAAGTCTGTGTTGCTGAATGAGGATGGGGTGGAATGAGGGAGAGGAGTGGTGAAGGTAGGAGGATGAGTGATGGTCCAGGGGCTGGTGGTAGAAGTTGAAATGGTGGTGATGACAGGTTTGGTGGGTTGGATGGTGGTGAAGCCAGAGCTGAGGGCGCCGGTGGGGGGAGGAGCTGTGACACGGGGTCGGATAGAAGTGATGGGGGTGGATCTGGAGGTGGATCTGGAGTTGGGTGGAGGCTCTGCGATGGTGACATTGCTGCAGGACTTGCAGCACATGCGCTGGAAGTCCGGTAGAGAGCAGTATCGCTTCAGCATCTCCATACGACAGAACACGGAGCGGTCTCCATGACAACGCTGGCCTGTGAAGGAGAGAACAGAGAGCTGAGACCGGGCACAGCCAGTGGGAGAAACTATGTAGGGGTGAATGTGTGTGTGTGATTGCTGGGATATGTCTTTGAGTCTGAAAGAATGTGCATTAATAAGAGTATATTATGAAGTCTCTGTGTGCATGTTAGTTTATACAGAAAGCACATAAATGTGGGTGTGTGAGTGTGTTGGTTCCACACCGTGCAGAGTACAGTAGTAAAGCCACACCATTAGCAGAGGATGCAGGGAGGAAGAGGAGAAAAACCCAAACATCAAGAGCAGTCATGAGATTAGTCCAGAGCAACTGAAATGGAAAAAGAAGGGTCGCCAGTCTTGTGTTGTAAATATAACTGTCTTTCTCGTCTGAAACGCTTGATGTCTAATTTTGACTCATGCAGCTTTGTGTTGCCTCTCCTTCAGGTGCGCATCATTCTTCAGTTAAATTTTCAGGCTCTACCACTTGACTTGTACCCTTTTTGTACCATGCCAGTAAAAATAACTGTTCTCCTGGCAATATTTGACATTTTCTCTGACAAATAATCTAGCCAGTGAACATTCCTAGTGAGAGAAAGATCACACTTTTTAAAACATTTTTATTGATACAACTTTGCTGTTGAGAATGACAGGAACTGAAACAATGAGATGTACGCCCCCCCCTGCTCAATATATAGATATATTCTTTTCTTAAGAAAAATAATTCAACTGTATTGAAAGTTACAAGTTCACAGTCACTTTGGTAAAACACTTCATTACTCTGAAATCAACCAGTCAATCTGTTTATCGATTGAAAAAAAACAAAACAAAAAAACCCAAAAAAAGAAACCAAAAAAACCCCCAAAAAAACATGAAGTACATAAATGATATTTGCTGTTTAAATAAAATACATAATTTCCATGATGATGTAAAAACTGGAATGGCACATTAAGTGTCATATGAAACATTTACAAAACATTAATAAAATTTCCCTGATAAATCAAAGTGCATATAGACGCAGTGCACGTAGTCCATCTGAATGTTTCTTCAACGTTAGCCAAACGTTAGCCAGCCCCACGCAGCAGGCCAGTGAAGCCACAAAACAGTTACCCATAGTATAGAATATTATAGAAGAAGATAACAGTCATGAACATTATTAAATACAGTCAACACCAATGTTATATACAGTATCGCACTGCTAGGTCTGGCTTGGTCTCATACAGTCCAACTCCAGCAGAAGGAAACCTTGGATAGCTCGCTACATAGTCACAACAGAAATATGTGATCACAATACAATGACAAGTCTGAAGTGTTTTTTTTTTTCTAGACGCCATATGTGTCGATACCCTAGGCCCTTTGTAAACCCTTCCCAGTAGTCGGACATTGGTCCAACATCACCTTGGTAGGTTTGATGGTTGGCGGGTGTGAGTTTGTTAAGTTGGTTTGAAGCTGCCTCTATTCCGAGTGAAACTTTGAATGAGTAAAGCCATCTCTTTCACAGATAAATGCCATTACATTCAATCCAAGATAAGGCATTGTTCATGTGGTTAATGTTCATCAAAATAAAATGAGATCATCGGACGCTCTCAAATCAAAGTTTATGAGGTATTTCTGTATCTGATTGCAATGTGTAAAAGCCCGAATGATTAAGCACCCACACACACACACACACACACACAAAGCACAATCACAACCTAACACACACTAACAAGAAGACTATTTCTCATTCACTCGCCCATTCTTCATTTACTCACTCATCTAAACTTACACCCAAGACCCACATGCATCCATCCACATATACAGACACACACAGATGCACCAACTCTCTCTCTCACACACACACACACACACACACACACACACACACACACCCACACACACTCACACACACACCCACACACACTCACACACACACGCAAACGCGCACACACACACACACACACACACACAAACACACACACACACACACATATGTACACACAGACATACAGGTGATGGATGCAAATGCGCATGACAAAACGTGATCCTATCCTTAAAGAAAACAAGAAGCGACAGTAAACCACTGATCCATCTGAGAGAATGGAGAGGCAACTAACTGACCAAGTCCTGCATAATATAGGTCTGACCCCTTCCCCCCGAAACACTTTACCTTTTATTAAATATTCATCTGTATTCATGTAAAATCAATAAAAAAATACACATAACAGTCAAGGATCTAAGCGATCAATAGCAGTCCAAAGGTTTTAGGCAAATAAGCTACAGCTTATTCATGGTAAAACATTATTAATATTATTGTTACTCATATAGATTTAGATTTATAGGTATATATAAATACAAATATATTTATAGATGTATTTGTTTAAAGTCTGCAAGCACAAATAAGCTGCATTTATTGAACTTTAGTATAACAGTCAAAGAGAGGATGGCTGATGGTGAGGTGAAATGGGAAGCAACCTCAAGCGGTCAGACTACCCTGTTTTTTTTTTTTGCTATTTTTTTTTTTTTTTCTATTTGCCTTTACTTTAAGATTCTTCAATTTCCCTCCCCCCCAAAATCAGAAGGTTTGCTTATGTCACTTCCTGTTCCTGTGCTGAGTTCCTGTCAATCTGAGAATGGAACGTAGAATGAGACACCATTCTCATCCCCGAATGGAACCAGGATGTCAGATGAGCACTTTAGCAAAGATGTCCTCATTGTGACAAGATCACATTCACAATAAAGCTTTCATATTTTTTTAAAACTTTTTTTTCTCTATATAGATATTTATATACCTTTTCTGTTTATTTTCACACCTGTTTCTCCTCACAATGACAGTGCGCTACAAAAAGGAAAAACCGTAGCTGCATCTCAGGAGTGGTAACCCATGACAACACGCAGCTAGCTCGCGCAAAACATGGCCGCCAAATGCAGAGACACACATGAACGGCTCTTTGACACGTCTCGGGAGGTGTCACTGAAAACCTGTTCGCCTTGCCACTTCGAATCCTTTTCACATCAAATTTTTTGTTGATCTTTTGAGTTTTCGACTGGCCAGCGGTTACAACACAATGCTCCACAAAGGAGAGAGAGAGATAGAGAGAGAGAGACAGAGCAAGAGAGAACCAACTAGCACACACAGGAGCCAGAGACCTCCCCCCAGTCAGAGCTGTCTCAGACACACAGAGAGAGAGACAACATCCCCCCCCCAAAAGAGAAGCGAAAGCTTTGCCGCTCGCTCACGGGCGTGGGCACAGGCACGGGGCGTGAGGGAGGGGCGGGTCAGGGGGCCAGCCGGGGCCGGCCCTGCAGAGACAGGAGGACAGAGATGGGCAGGGCCCAGCAGAGGACAGACATGCAGCTGCGGCTGCCGCTGTGGAGGCCAGGCTGGGAACTAATGAGGGAGGTTTTACGTGAGGAGATCTTCGGGAAGTTGGGGTTGGGGCGAGACAGCCACTGGATCAGGATGTTGCCGTTCTTGTTGAGGAGGTCTGATGAGCCTTCTGCAGAGACAGGGGGGAGAGAGAGTGATGGAGTTTATAAGGTGAGAAGGGAACTCTTTTAGTGGTTTATGTATTTTTTGTTTGATCACCTATCCGTCTTCCCTTCTGTGCTGAGACAGGGTTTATTTGCTGTGTAGTTTAGTATTGAGCTTCATCCTTTTCCCCTTATATAGCTTCAAGGCTGGAAAAATCATCTTATTCCACAATGGTCCACTTATTCCACATTCATTATACACTGTGTGTCACTTTGTTCCAGCTCCTTATTTAAGATATATGATTCAAACCCTAGACTGCCATTCTGTCAAATAATATTCCCCAAATTTCTGCCAGACATACTGTAATTCGTATCAGTGATGTTTAAAAGATTAAGAGTTCTGTGCAACTAAATAAATTTGAGTGTCTACTCTCACATAGTGCAGTTTGCCCTGGCAGGCTATGTATGGGTGGAGGTTCCTCAGCACTTACTGGGACATGGATCCAAGCGACAGACTCTGATGGTGTCGGGCTTACTGTCGAGACACAGGCCGATGGTGTTGTCCCTGGTGTGGCACAGAGCCTGCCTCTGCTGGGTCCCATTACCACATGTCACTGAGCACTGGAGATAAAGAACATACACACAGACCAACACATTTTAACAAATCACTTAGTAAAGATAAAAATGTTTTCAAAGCTGTACAAAGGCATGTAAAGCACATTAACATCACAACTGTTTTTTGAATCATTATGCTTGGTTCACTGTAAGCAGTAACAGTCAAGATCACATGATCTGTTTTTCAGAGGTTATTCAAACCTGCCAATAACACAGTCCTGAGGAAGTCTAGTGAAATTTAAAACATTGAACGTCTGACAAAAATGCAACCTGCTGGGCTTCAATACAAAAATATCACTACAAGTATTTCCTTTAGAAAACCTTATTGCTCTGAGATTATTTTCAACTTTTCATTTTCATTTTTGAAAGGAGGGACCCATGTCCAGCCTGCGCACCTGTGACCACGGTCCGACTCTCCACTGGGTGGGACAGGGGTGTCTGTTGCAGGGTCTGCGGGCCTCGGGCCGGTCGTCGTTGCAGTGTTTATTGTGGATGGAGCGTGTGGTGTTGTCATCTGACGGCTGGACACAGCTGACTGAGCGTATTTGCATGCCCGTCTTTCCACATGGTTTGCTGCAGTTCTGCCACTCCCCTGTCACCCAGCTGGAGAACACCACGGGAGAGAGAGAAACAAGAGGGCACTGAAAATGTCAAAATGCTGAGGTAAACAATGTCAGAGGAGGGAAAAAAAGGGTCGACTAAATGCAGAAAAAGCCTAAAGTTGTCTCTATCACAGTGAAGTCAGATTCCCTGTGTTATAATTTTACAGTTGGTGGCATATAATACAATGCATACATGGGTGGAGGGCAGGGCTTCTGGTTGCAGTCTCTGGTGTCTCCTCTAGGTTTCATATTGGACTTGTTACAGAAGCTCTTGTGGACCATTTTACTGTCAACTTTTCTTCTGCAGCCGTATCGTTGATACTGCTTCCCTACAGCAGGAGGGGATAGAAAATATATCACAAAACAAGACAGGCATGCAAAATGCACACAGGTGATGCAACAAGTATGCTTCCTTGCTCTACTGTACCTCCACCACAGGGTTTGGAGCAGTAGGACCATCTCTTTGGGGCCCACTCATAGGCACTGTCTTCTACCAGCATGTTGTTCTGAATGGCAAAGTCACTGTCCATGTTCATCATGTACTTATAAGACAAATTGACGTCCTCATCTCCATGTAATTTCATCTACAAACGGAAAGATCATCGTAAATGAGTGAGAGACCCTGATGACAACAGACAAAACACTGATGTTTTAAGTGTAATTTATATTATTTGATGTGCAGAAAATGTTTGTGTTTAGCCGGCCACTAGCATCACTTATTTACCATGATAAGAATTCCATGTCTGAGAGGGCCAGTGGTCTGAAGGGTCTCCTTGTCATTGTCGTTCTCATATTCCCACTCCACGCCCTTTTCTATGACGGAGTGGGATTCTGGGTATTCATTTTCCCCATTCAAGAAACACAGTCCTGATGCCACATTCTTGACAGCTGTAGATTTGTGAGGAATATGCATTAATTGCACTTAGATACCAGACAAATACAAGTATATAGACATACACACGTTAAGGAAAAACTGTGTAGCGTGTCAAATACCTAAAGTATGTGAAGTTGCTTTGAGCTCTTGGATCAGTAGGTGTCTTGCTCCTCTGGGGATTTCAAGAACTTTGAGGAAACCTGAAATAAAACGAACATCTGGTTCATGACTCCAACATCATCACAAGCTCATTTTATAGTTTCCAGACAAAAAGCTTCAGCCAATCCCCAGAAAAGAGCTCTTACTCATTTCAAACAAGCATACCTGCTCACTAGTTAAAACCCCTGCAGTCTTGACTATTTTCATGCAGAATAAACTTCTGATTCTGGACATTTAGCTGCTATAACGTAGATCTGTCCCAACGTCAAGAGTTAGATAATATTCTTACAAACGTTAGCTCACACATCGAGGTTTGACGAAACTTCTTGGCAAATGCTCGACCCACGTGGAAAAAATGTCAAGTCAAATCTCACTGAGGTTTACACAGTGTTGCAAATCTTCCTCTAGAGGGCGATGTTTAGTTAAACATAAGTAAATACAGAGTAAAAGTGGCTTATAAACAAAGGACACTGGCCAACTATTTACCCTGTACTTACCAGCATGATGGACATCTGCTACACTGATGGAGCCAAGTCAAGCCTGTCCTGGATGTAGATGAGGGTTACTGTGACTGTTGGTGTGTGTTTACCTTGTTTCTTGGCTGTGCGCGTGATAGTGTCTTTGAAGGTTTTGCAGCTGGAGTTGTCACCTCCACACACTCCACACTTGTCCTCCTGCTTTGAGGAGCCGACCGCACCGTCACAGCCCACTTTCTGTTGATGAGGACACATAATGATTAACACGTGTACATCTGAACACATGCAGCTCTCTTGCTCTCATACACGCACTTAACGTCACTCACCTCGCACTCTCCGCGCACACACACACTGTGTAGGTCCTTGTATGAGCAGCGTGTGCCGTCCAGGACCATTCTCTGCATGAACACCACATCTCGTGACTCCTTGGCTTGGCAATGAAGGTGGCAGCGTTTGTTAGCTGGGAAACAAACACAAACATAAAAGTGACCCAGTTATTCAAATGATTGTCAGAATGGCAAGTCTGCAATATATTCTGATGATTTCATCTTTAAAACTGGTGGTCATTTTTCATCTTCTGAATGAGCTCTCCGTGAGTCAGCATGACGCTGTGTCTCATTGTCTGTCTGTGTGAGTCATACTACAACTACATGAGCCTCTAGAGACAAAACCTGGCAGTTCATCCCAGTAAGAATGAACACTCCTACTTCATCATGTTTATTACAGATGGACCTAATCCAAAGACCTTGTCTAATGGTGCTTTGACACTAATAAACAGGTGTCAGAAGTGCTACTGAAGAATTATAACATGTAGAGAAAACACATTTTTGTGTCAGGGCTCCAGGCAGAGCACAGTGCAGGTGTGATATATGTATCACAGTGTAGATAGATTTAAAATACAGTATATTTACAGACATATAGGTTTCTATACACAAGTACACCCATATCAGCCATTCAATCCAAGTGGCTATAAAACAACACCACACAGATAAACATATTCTATGTCATGAAAAAAAGAAAACAGTACTGAAAACAATTTCTAAAATTACCTGCTGAATCAGAGTTTGGAGAAACAGAAAATACTTTGCTGAATTTTAAGACCGTGTAAAAACTTTGTTTTGAGGTTTTCAGGATGTATGAGGTGTTTATTAAAAAGTCTGAGACCCCGCCATATTTTGCACATTGAGGAGTTCTGGGAGACACCTGAGTGTGTGCCAACTCTGAAAACAGCAGACAGTTTGGGGCTTTTATTAAATACGACAGACCAAAGGGTCGGCGGAATCCCTCTAACCAGTTGGTTGAACTGCCACACAAACAGGGCAGCCTTATGTTTGATGTGTCTTTGCTCAAGAGTATTTTACAGTATATCTGTTGACACGGGAATAGACCCAAATAGAGACAAAAAACCAACAGTGTGTCAAACATCTCTAAACAAATACTACAATTTCACACTCAGAGCAGACACTCTTTTTCGCTCCTCACACTATCTGGAACTCAGAAGATGACAGACCATGAATGGAATTCAATTTCACCTACCTGTTCACTTTTTTCTCCCTCACACACACAGACACGCACATCTGTGCTCGCACACACACACGAAAAAGTAATTTGAGACTGAGAAAGCCTTGCTGAAAAATATGGCATTTAGAAACGATAAGAACAGAGAAAAACAATTTAGCGAGGCGCCTCTTAGCCAAGTGTGTGTACCGTAACCTCCGATTAGATATGGAGACAGCTCAGCACTTTTCTCCAGGGATGCCCTTTAGTTGGATGATAATTTAATACATATCAGGAAGGCAGTGACACCTCCACTTAAGAGACAGGGGTAGGTCTGACAACCACACACACACACACACACACACACACACACACACACACACACACACACACACACACACACACATCCTCACACTTCTCAAAAAATGTAAAAAGGTTTTTGGATATTAAGTGGAGAACTTTGGCATGTGATCCCACTGGGAATCTGATAGTTTGTCAACTGATAGCAGCTACATGGGTGGAGAAAAAGGTGTAGGAAGGCAGGGTTTGGGAGGTTCAAATGACTTGGGTGGGGAAAGAAAAGACACTGAGTTCAAAGAAGATTGTTTTTAAAGAGATTTTCAAAGACATGGTGTGTTTTTACGGGAGGGCGTAGACATACCTCAAAGCACACTCAGACTCAGCAGGACAGCCAGATGTCAATGACCATGACAGAACACAACCTATATATATGTATAAAACCCTCCAAACCCCAACCACATTCATGAATTATGTGTTTGCTTCCCCTTCTTGGCCTTCATTCATACAACTTCCACAGTGTGTAGTCATTTAGGGTTTGCGATTCTCAGGTTGGTGGCTTTGTTCTGACAGCCTTTCCATCTGTGGGTGTATACTCACGGTCTGGGTGTTCATAAGGCAGCCAGTGCTTGTTGCTGTAGAGTTCAAAGCGAGGGTCCCAAGCGTGGCATTGCTCCTCTCGCGGGTCACTGTAGATATCCTCGCATTCATTGGTGTTGCACATCTGGAACTGATAGGTTGCCCCCACACAGGTGCGGCCCCCGTTGGCTGGTCTGAGGAGGTGGCAGGACAGGTGACTCATGAATATCTTTATCTGTCTATATATGTATTATGATTTACTCCTATGATATATTGGCTTTTATTTGAAGGCCAAGGTGACTATCAAGTCACACACATAAACACAGAATGAAAACTTTCAACATCACTTTTTCACACACAGCTTCATACCTTGGATTGTCACAGTCGCGTGTGCGAAACTGTACTCCTCCACCACAGGTGCGGGAGCACTGGCCAAACTCACTCCATGAACCCCAGTTTCCATCTTGCTTTATGATGTCAGGGGTCAACCAGATGCAGTGACCTTTAAAGCAATGCTGCAACAGGCCGAGAACAAAAGACAGATGTGGTTTCATGAGGCCAACAAATGATTTTTCACAGACATAATGTGTGTTAAAGTACAGTGGGGTATAAATACCTTCCCATTGCCACACATGGTGCCATCAATGGGCGGTCCTTTCTTGGTCTTGCAGAAGAAGGGATTGTCTGGGTGGCTACACCACAGCTGCTTACAAGGGTCAAATGTGCGATACTGCGGGGCACAAAGAGAGACTCCTTCTTACAATCAAAAGCCCAAACATACAGTACACACAGACTGACCCTCAGTAATACAAATCAACCATCATGAGACAGCTGGAATGAGACTTAACACTGAGAATAGGAAATAAAAGAGAGATGAGAAGAGATATCACAACAACAATAACCACAACAGTGTTATACCCAACAACAACAACACCGACCCTGTACTGTGTCACTGCACTGTACACTACGCTCCACTGAGAAACACACAGCCATTCATGCAAACTAAACCAAAGGATGAACGAGAGAGACAAGACTCTCAGAATGAGACAGCTGTGGTTTAATTAGGTCACTAGGGAGGTCAGAGGGCAGAGGGCAAAAGGTCAGAAGGCCAAAAGGTGAGGTCTTAGTGACCTCTATGACGCCCCTAGACACAAATCAAGGACCAAATTCTCCTCCTTGTCTGATATGAACCATTGATGAGGATTCCACCAAAGTAACCTGCAGTCCAGTGTCTGAGGAGCCGTGCCCTCCTCCCTCCTTTTCACAGATTTCCCTACCAACCATGACCCCAGGGGACCTTTGCAGGTCAGAGAGCGAGTCACAATCGATGGCTAGACTGTGGTAGGTAATCACCAATGACATCAGACTGGAGGATCCTAAAAGCTGAAGTGAAACATGGAAAAACAGCCTCTGTTCTGGCTCAGCCCTTTCCCCTTGGATGGGAAAGACATCTTCCCAACATTTTCCACTAGTTTATGGTCACGAGTGTGCCAATATAATGAGACTCTTCCTGCCAGCACTGCACTGATTGAACACAGATTTGCAGGAAAAGAGTTGGGGTATGGTACAGTTCAACAGTAGAGTCACAGTGTTTTTAGGGATTTTAAAGTCACTTTTTCTTGAAATGTGAGCATTTTAGAATCCTGCAGGCTAACGTCCAAAACATGACGATGGGTAGAACAGAGAAACAAAGTACAGTAAAAAAGAAAAGTAAGGAGCAACATTACAAACAATTACAACTTCAGAGGACAAATAGAAAAAGAAAATCTGAGAAAACAAATGACGGGCCACATGTCTTCCGGGAGGTGGGGTTACCTTACCTGCGTTCCTGCCTGGCCCGCCTTTTGTAGCTGAGGGGAATGGGTTTGACAAGAGAATAGAGGGTAATCTAGCAATGTGTGCAAAGCCCCTGAACAAGCCCTTTTTTTCAATCAAGCAACAGCTTCTCAACAGTGTGCCACAGTGGCTTCACAGTCATAGAGCGGGTGAGAGTGACAGGGGGAAGGTAAGATACCTGGCAAGATGCTGCTGCTGGGTGAAGCTCGTCTACTGTGTGTTCTTTTGTGTTTACAAAAATACTCTATTTGACGGGTTCATGTAAAGGCACTGTGGTATCAAGGTAAGTGTAAAGTTAAAATAAAGATTATTTATTATAATTAACATTAACAAAAGAAAAAAAGAAATAGCTAAACTATCAAAACCAATTACCCAGCTTGAACTGACTGTGTTCAAAGTGGGTCTACCCCCACTCTGAAAGACTGCATCACCTCAGGAGATAAAATGATGCTAAGCTTGAAAAAGCTGGTGGTAACTTGCCTTCAGTATGTCCCTCACATTGTTAGTGCAGGTAGTAAGTGTTAGTACAACCTAGCTATGTTAGTAAAGTCAAACTATGGTGATCTCTTACCGCGGTGCACATCGTGTAGCCCACACCGAAGTCAAAGCGACACTGTTCATTCATGGAGTAGTGCAAACCAGGGAGCTGAGGCAGAGACGGCCAGTTGTGGTCAAAGGGGTCGTCACGGAGACAGTCATAGGAACTGCAAGAGCAGACGAAAAAAAATGGGATGAGATTTTACTCACTTCCTTTATTTTTTTCGATTTACTCAAGTCATTGTTCATAAAATAAAGTATTTCCTCCATTAATCATACAGTCCATAAAATATCATAAAATAGTGGCAAATGGCCTTCAGTCTTAGAAAAGGTTGTCTAACCAAAAGCACAATCTGAAAGATATTTGATTTATTATTATATAAGGCTAAGAAAACCAGCCAATATTCAGGTCTGAGAAGCTGAAACCAGTGAGTGTTTTGGCACATTTGCTTAAAAATGACTTTCGATTAGCCCTTATTTATTGAAGTGTTTTCCATGAACCATTAACATGTTTTACAAACAACCATTATACCATTTTGACAGTAAGGCTTTCTTTCTTTGTAATATTATAACTTCCAGGTTAATGACATCTGATCTAAAAAAAACACAGATTATTGGCTGAAAATATCAACTACAAGCAAATTCAGTCTAAAATACTGATGCAAGTGTCGACCTTTAAAAGCCCATTTACTGTCATTAAAATCCTAGTATGAGTGTGAGTGTGTGTGTGTGTGTGTGTGTCTCACTGAAGGTAGCGTCCAAGCTCTTGCATGCTACACCTGGACCAGTGAAAGCGGTGGAAGGCAGCTTGCACCAGCGGAGCCATGATGCTGCCCATGTGCACCTCATCTCCACAGCGGTTCCCCTGGCCGTCGTGCTCCATCCCCAGCCTGCACAGGGAGAGAGAGGTCAAGAGGACAAGAAGAGCAAGGAGCAAAGGACGGAGGCAGTGGCAGCCCTCTCATCAGACATTGGATGATGAGACCAATGGACCAAAACTGTGAAAAATCAATACAGTCCTGTAAGTGACTGCTTTGTTGTCTTTTCCTGTACTATGTAAGCAATCTTGAAGACATCATTATGGCAGCGAACTTACACGTGTCCGGTCTCGTGTGCCACCACAAAGGCAGAGGAGAAACCGTCCTCGTGGTTCAAAGTGCAGCTCCTCACCGGATGGCACATGCCTGTCACTGGGGCGTAACCTAGGCAACGGGGAGGAGAGACAAACTCTTTAAAATCTGTGGACTTTTTTGTTATATTGTGCTGAAACCTTCAGGGAGAGCAAAAACCTTTGCAATGTTCGGTGTTAAACACCGTGTCATCGGAAGGGAGCAGAGAGAGGAGAAATCTTATTTATTTGCCCCCTTTTCAAAATGATTGAGTAACACAGACATAAATGGTTTCAATCAGTGACATAAATCTTATGTTCATATTGTCCGATTACTCAATCTGTATTTCTTGTATTTTTAATAAGCTGAATAATACTTCATTTACAGTTTTCTATTTTAAAACATTTCCCACATAATTCCTAAATCTTACTGTAATGAGTGCGCGCATATGTCACTCATGTCATCAAAAGACCCCAATGATCAGAAAGATGAAACCAATGTGGGTAAACTTATTGTACAACTCACCCTTAACTTGAGACTTCATCTAAATATACTGTATATGTCTACCACATACGGACACACAGGAGTTAGTCGCATACACATAGGGACAAATGTGTGTGTGAGTTTGTGTGTCTAATCCTAACCCTAAACCGTCGCCCTCCGCCCCCACATATGCCAATCTCCAACTCCCTGTGTGCTTGTCTGTCCCGTACTGCCTTTAATTGTGGAGCTGTGGCTGGCCCTGCTCTGTCTATTGATTTTCTGCTGCTGAAGGCTGAGCCCAAGGGCAGCTGAAGGGCTTCTGGATAGCTAGGACACTGCCTTTAGAGGCCTCTCCCCTGGGCCTGCCTGTTAGTCTGCACTCTGCTGCACAGAAAACCACCAACCACCAAACCCACAGTGTGCTATGCAGCCGTACAAGGCAAAGGAAGGAAGTGGGGAGTTTTCTATGAGCACTTATGAGCTTTAGGTCCTCAAGAGGTTTGGCATGCAGCTTGGATGTATGTACTATATGTTAAACAGTAGGGGTTATGGAGGCTTTAAATTGTGTACATGTCTTTATTACCCTGCATGCCCGTGGGGCCAAATTCCTGTCGTGTGAGGAAAATGGCGTGGTCGTGATACTCAGCGTCCCCTGTGTCCTGCTTCTGCTGCAGGAAGGCCCAGCGACACACGTTCTCCAGACTCTGGGATGGGTTCCCCAGTTCAATCAGACTCATGGACTGGAAAGAAAGACACACATGCACACAGAAGGAAAAAGAGAAGAGGGTGTAAAGATTATACAAAAACAGGGAACTCTACCCGCTTCTTGTTTCAGTTCTGGTACAACAACATTTTATTCAACCCTGTAGAGGGCAGTGTCACAATGTTATATATTGTCAGCACATCTTGAATTGCTGAGGTGTACAACACAGTCACACACACACACACACACACACACACACACACACACACACACATACACACAATAATGCTTGGGATCCTGTAATCTTGATGATTTCAATAATGAACATGAAACTGAACACAGAGCTGCCTATTAATGAGCTATGCACTAATAGTCAAAAACATGTCCAATTACAGAATATTTACTTATGATTAAATGCATAATACTGACTCCCACACACACAAACACCCAGATGCCAGCAATTCTTCCCATTCACCTTCACCTCTCATGCTCTTCCTCATTAGGATCTTCACTCCCTCCCCTCCCCTCGTCACATTCTGCTGTACAAGTCTTTCCATCGCTCTCTCTTCATACTGCTTCCTTTTTGCCTCGCTTTCTACATTTCCTCACTGTTTTCACACATGCACAATGCACAGCTGAATCAAACAGCAAGGAGTGTGTGTAGTGTGAGTGAGCTGCAGCGAAGACATATGGCCTGCCTCTGCACACATGATGGATCGTGAAGTCTGCATTCTGCACAAATGCCCCTTAGACAGAGTGCACTGCACACGTGTGTACACTCTTTCATGTTCATCAGGTGCTTGAGTGTGTGTTTCACTGTGTTTTTATGATCTTTAAAATGTGTTTGTGACGTTGTGTATTGTGGGTATATGTTGTGTTGGCGTGTGTGTGTGTGTGTGTGTGTGTGTGTGTGTGTGTGAAGTGTGGGTGTGTGGGTGCGCCCGCATTCAGGGTCACATAGCCAATCTGCAGGCTGTCTGGGTGCAGCTCTGTTGCCACGGTAATTGGGGATGATGGACAGCCGGAGCTTTGGCTGAAGCTGCATAGGGGCTGGCCCAGAATGACCAATGTAGGAGTGTGTGTGTGAGTGTGTGTTCCCAGGCTCCAATGGGACTGTAGAGAGGAGGGGAAGAGATAAGGCTACAGCAGGATAAGTGTATCACAGAGCACCTATCCAGCAGTAAAATCATTTGTATCATCCTGTGGGGTAATCCCTGTCCTCCTCCATTGCTGCCATCTCTCGCTTTATCTCTTTCTCCCTCTCTCCCACTCTTCCTCTCTTCAGCACAGACAGGCAGATAGAGTTACAGTCAAGAAGAAAAGGATGCAACCCCCATCATCTGGTCTCTGTTTATGAATGAGGGAGGGCTATCATTGATTGTTTATCTTTGCCTGGACTTCCCATGATTCTTTGCTGCAGCCTACTGGGAGGAAGGCTGATTGCATAACGGGCAGAGTTTCTGTGTGCTTTGGTGCTGAACTGTGAAGGCGTGCGACTTGAAAACACTCCCCTGGGACGCTGCATGCTTTTAGTTCCTCTTTTGCTCAGTCCACTGGAATAACAGGCTCCCGGCATCAATGCGTGCTGATGAGTGTGCGCGTGTGTCTGTGTGTTTGTTTATGAGTGTGTATATGACTTGGCTGTGCTTACTGTAGGTACTTAGAGTGACTGTTGCCAAATCCTGGTATCAAAGATGGTGCTGACAGAGAGACAAGGCACGCACTTTCCAGGAACTGCAGCTCACTCGACTGTTCACTAGAACCCGTGTCTGGTGAGGTCTTACCTTGCCGTAGCCCAGCATGATAATCCGCACCAGCACCACATTGATCTTTGCTCCCAAAGACTGGTCATGGTAGATCTCATTCACCTGGAGTCACATAGAAAGAAACACAAGAGGGAACACAAACATCAGAAGCAGTAATAAAAAAAAATCTAAAAGATCTAAATGGATTGTAAATTGTAACTAATGGCTCTGTAGTTCTTTTCCATATAATAGTTTGATTAGAGTGATTTTCCCAATTAGAAAACATGAGGGTGAAAAGAGTGCAAGGAACTCAGTTTCCCATGAGCACAGATGGAGATGAGATGAAGGAAGGAAAATGCAAAGGAAGGAAAGAGCCTAGTGTAAGGAAACAAAGTAAGATGGTAAAAACACACACACACTCAAAGCGAGAGAGAGAGAGAGAGAGAGAGAGAGAGAGAGAGAGAGAGAGAGAGAGAGAGTAAATTGGCGCGGGAGTTGAGGCCTGCTGTCCTCAGTGGCTGTGTGTGGTGCCTAATGAGGCAAAGGGATGTAAAAACAGACAGCCATAATGAGATGGCTGATGGACATGCTGTGGAGAAGGAGACACATACTGTACACACACACACACACACACACACACACACACACACACACACACACACACACACACACACACACACGTACAGAGATGAGGAGCAAAATTGCAGACACATCCAGTGAGAGAGAGGTATGAGAGAGAGTTGAGGAATGCTATGAATAGAGACAGAGAGGCAGAGGGGAAGAGACAAGAAGCAGAGAGGAGAGAGGGAGCACAGAGGCAAAGTGCGAAAAGAGTAAGAGCTTGGAAGGCAGTGGAAACGATGCATTCTTAGGAAACAAATTTTGCATGGTGCTGCGGAGAAGGGTCTGGAGTAACTTAATGCTCTTTTCCATACGTGGTGCAGTTGGAAATTCCAGCTTCCTGTTAGGAACAACTGAGTGATCCTTCAAATCAGAATTATAATTTGTTAACCACAAACCGTCTGGAATAAATGTGTTTGATTACATCAACATATAAACATGCCTGTAATGTAAAGCCTTCACATCATGTTCAGCAACCACAAAATAAAGTCATGTTTGATTTGCAGTACTGCATGACCTTTGTGTTATTAGGACCATCTGTCCGGTAAATGATGAGATTTACTAATTAACCCTCTGAAATGTTAAGCGCACTGGTGCCAGCATTCTAAGCTAACTTTCTAATGTAGCCAAATATCACTAAAGTAACATTAGCAGTGCTGAAGCGGCATTTTACGTAAGTAAAGTCACATCTTGTGGGAATCCATGGTTTTCCAAACTGGAACAGTAGAACTAATGGAGAATGTAACTGTCTGTGACATTAACTGGGATTATTTGACCTTCAGCTGTGAATGGAACAGAGTATTATATGAGGGAAAGGAGAGAGAAATACTTGTGTCGTGATAATAAGGCATCGTAAGCTGACACAACTTCTGTACATTAAGTAGCATTAAGAGTTTGGTATTGCACCACAATAAAGTTGGTGAACTTGCAGGAGATGGATTAAAAAATAAATGATCAAAATTGATGCAGAAAATGCTGAGGTCAACATCCAAAAGCACTGGATTCTACACATTTTAATGTGTCTTCTGTTAAATCCTCCTACCCGCTTAACGTCAGGCTTTCTGTTAAAAATGTGTAGTCTCTAAGCCAAAACCAGGATTTCTTTTCTAAGCCTTGACAAAACTCCTTAAGAACTTACAAAAAGTATTGCAGGACAGTTAATTGTAATTGTACATTTCCTATAGGACTACTTCATATTGCTGATGAACTCTTTTATATATTTCTTAGTGAGTCTTACTACTTTCACCAGTAGAAGATGTATTCAGGCTGGAGGAAAGTAAATTGAAAGTAAAATACTAAATTAAATGTCCTGCATTTAAAATATCACTTAAGTAAAACTACAGCGGTATTATGCAGAAAAATGTTGTCTTCTTCTACTTCTGTCACATTTTACAGTTGCAGTTTGTCTCATACTGTTGTGTTGTTTAATCTATAACAATGCATAATATTTTATGTTTTGGATGTGAAATCCTAATCTGCAAAGTAACTAAGTATGAATGTAGTAAAAAGGAATAATACTTTCCTCTGAAATGTTCAATAAAGTAGCATAAAAGGTAAATACTGAAGTAAAGTACAAATGACTCAAAATTGTACTGAAATGTAGTTTTTTTTACATTCTGGGGCAGCAGCATGTCCGACATGAAAACAAAGAAACTGGACAAGCTGCTAAAAAAGGCTGGGTCTGTGCTTGGCAGGAGTCTGGACTCAGGACTGTTGTGGAGAGACGTATGCAATGTGAGATGGAGGCCATCTTGGACAATACCAACCATCCTCTCCACAACATTCTGGCAGGACAGAGAAGCATCTACAGGTGCAGCAAACGTCTCATCTCTCTGCACTGCAGGACAGAGAGGTTCAAGAGATCCTTTGTTCCCACTGCCATCAGGCTGTACATCATCCAGCCAAAGGAAGTGGACTAATCTAATTATTATTGTTTATTTATTATCAACTGTTATTATTATTATTATTATTATTATCAACAATGAGTTAATGGACACATGAATTTCCCCTAGGGGATAAATAAAGTATCTATCTATCGATCTGAACACAATGCAAAATGTCCAGGGGCAGCAGACTGTGATGATAACATGTATTGTTGGACTGGCCAACTTTTAATTCTTGATAATGGGCTTCAGTTCCTGATATGACAGGTGGAAGAGCAGATGGGACAAGTTTCAGAGTGCGGGTCACGGGAGAAGACAGGGAAAGGTTTTGTTCCAGCGACCTTCAGTTCCATGTTTTGGATGCTGCTTTCACACATAAAAAAACAGAGAGTTGCTAGGCAACCACCAAACAAAGACAGAGGGTTCTGTTGTTTTCTCAGTTTAACCCTGTCTGTGACTGTGTGTGTGTGTGTGTGTGTGTTGCCTATCTGTCTGGCTACCTACTGGTATTTCTGTCTCTCATTTGGTAACATTTGTCTCACTCCCTCGTTATCTTGGCAGGCTGAAGTATACGGAAATGTGTGTGTGCATGTGTGTGTGCGTGCGTGTGTGCGCGCGCGTTTGTTTATCTGAGATGACATGGACACTTGGGTGGGTCAGTTCACACTTGGCCTGATCCAGCCCGTTTCCTTGACAACTGTTAGGCCAATTAGGCGCGGTTGACTTCCAGGTGACCCAGACACCACAAGTTCCACTCTAATGAGACACACAAACACACACGCAGAGAGGCAATGTGGAGTCCATTCAGTCCCATCTTTAGTCTTCATGCGCTTTAACTCTTCCATACAGTTGGACCCTTCACACACAGATGCTGCACACTGGAAGACAGATGTGCCACAGCAATTCATAATCCCAAACACACCCACACATTCAGTGAGATGTGCTCACCCATGCATGCACACATAAACACTCAACACACAAACCCACACACAGCTCCTTGTTAGCAACTGTACAGGCATGTCTCTCATTAATGCTGCTGGCTGAGCGCTGACGTTCTGAAGGACGATGGCAGGTGTCATTACTTACCATCCAGGCTACAGGTATCCAGGTTAGCCTAGATTTGTCCAGCTGCCTGTGTGAGTGTGTGAGTGTGTGTGTGTGTGTGTGTGTGTGTGTGTGTGTGTGTGTGTCAGTCTGTGCGTGTAGTAAGTAATGCGGGCCTAGAGGTCAGCAAGGCACAAAATCATTACTATAAGATAAATAATGCAGACACGGCCTGCCACTTAACTTTGCAAGAAGGAGGACAAAATTAAGTAGGAAGGCAGGAGAAAACTGGCAACGTGGAGAGTGAGCGATATTAAAGGCATCATCAGTAATAGTTTATTCATAACAGTAGGTATAATTTAAATGCTTGATTTTAAAATGAACAAGGATTTAGTTTGTTTATGTGCATGATAATTAGAAAATATATCCTGTTTACAAACAAAACCCATGTAAATAAACCTTTAGCTGTTGTTGGTCTATGCATTTACAACATGTCAGTTTGTTTTTGTAATTTCAGCAGTGGGTTAGAGAATTAATTAAAACCTGAAGCATGAAAAGGAAGGCGGGCACAGTGCAAGGAAAGGGTGGTAAATGTTTTAGAAGACAGAATAAGGAAGAGATAACCGAGACTGACACCTAAGAACAAGAGTGTAGCTGTGTCACAGGGCAGCGATAGGGTTGCTACTTTTAATCTGCACTTTATTAGCTGCTGGTACCTCCTCCACAAGTTCACACCTCCATTTGGTATTACAGTGACTCCTTACCTTATACATTAAAATGAAATATAAGGAAAGAATTCATCTATTTCTGTGTGGATTTGTCTGTTTCTTGGCCCTTACTAAGACTAAGGGATACCTAGTAGTAATGAGCTCATAAAGGCCTACGATACATTCAAGCTTACTGTGTAACAATATGAATATTTTCACAGTACTTTAGACACTGAGCTCATGTGTTTTAATCAACTCATCATGGTGAGTGGGCTTCATTTAATAGGCAATGAAAATTTGACAGGAAACATTTTGAAAATATGCATTAAAAACACTCTCAGCTGCTGATGAGACAGAAATGAGTCATCTAATAAAATTTGGCTGGAGTGCTACATAAATTAGAAGTCTTTGGACAGCTTTTCTACATCTTTTTGTCAACACACACGGGAACATTTAAAAACCTAGAGACCGAGAATTTGAGCTCGCAGTCTGACAGTGCTCCTTACATATCTATGACACTTCCAGCTAACAAGGTGTCTGTTATTACCTGGACTACCTCCCCTTTTTCCAGCTCTTCCTTCCACTTATTAATATGACTTTTCTCTCCCTCCAGGAGCTTTGGTAAAGACCAGACTGAACCATCTGCACCACTTCCACCCGGCTCTTACAGAAATGATGCTTATCACATAATAGAGGTAAACCAACAGGTAAACCAATATGCATCATTAAAATTAAACATGCACACACACACTCCTCATCAGCAGTGACTATTCATATCCATTGAGAGTGTGATTAACAGTATGCAGCACCTCTCTAAAGGTCTCCATTAATGGGTGAAACAGACAGGTAGACAGACGGATCACCGTTG